ATCTACTCTGTGCTAGGTCGTACTCTGATGCAAGTATTAGTCTATATTATGGTACTATGCACAAAAATTAATTGAATTAAGTGACAGATATTCTCGCAAGTAACAACAAAGTTATTACATTTCAGAGGCCTTAACGTGAATAAGCTTCCCAAATTTAACAAGTGTCCAGCCATGCCTCTCCACTACACTTTAGTTTTTCAAAAATTCAGCAAACTCGTTGCTTACCTACTCATTAAATAAACTCGTCTGCATCGTCAATTATCCATCAGAAGTAAATATCAGACAATATTGAGGGACCTTGGTTACAAGATGGATTTTCTGCACTCGCCTACTACTGGTTTAGGCAAGCTTTTTTAAAATTGTTCGATACTAGGTCCCCATTTGGGAGGAAGGCCCTATCAATCCTAGTCTTTCGTGTGAAACTTAATTAAATTATAAACCTCTTTAATTAATTTGGCTTTCTACAATAGAGTCAATACTTTGCCAAGCCATCTCTGCGCCACAAAACCTCGACGTCGACTCATCCGTGGCCCCGGTTGTTTGCAAATGGACTGCGCCTGCGAGCACAGGCGGATCTGCGGTAACGAGCTACGAGTTGAACGCAGTTACCAGCGGAGGTGGCAACAGCTACCAGATCTTGACAGCAGGGCTGCAGGCGCCTATGCCATTGATGTCTCCTTGCAGCGAGTACACAATCTTGGTGCTTGCAATGACACTGCTGGGCAGAGGGCCGGCGGTCAGCAACAAATTTCGTACATCTGCGATTAGTGGGTATAAAAGAGAAAAAGTGGATGCAATGAGGGCTTAATACGCACACATTTGGGATTTTATCACATATTTTATGCTTTTAGCTTTAGGGAACTTTTTTTTATTAATCCCTTTACTTTCACTGGACCAGTCAAGTCTGATTTCTGATTAGTGCTTCAAATTTCCTTATCTCCTTGCTTAAACAGGGAAAGGCATATCTTTTCTTGTAATAGAAAAATCGCAATTTACCTTTTCCTTGTATCTCGAATTCGGAGCACTCGAGGCGTGCATTCATACGCCACTGCTCGAGTTGTAGCCACGGCCAGTTGCTGGTCTCAGGAAATCGCCTAGGCCTCGCTCTTTCAAGTAGCTTTGAACAACAGACGGTAAGACAGTGAGTAGGGACATTTTTATTATACCATAAATCCGCTTTCAAATGGTTGCCTATTCTTCCGGAAATATTTGGAATTCCGAACATTGTGGCATGACTTTGCATTTCGGAGGAAAAGTTGGTTGGAAGGAATGTGTCATGTGGTCGCACCGGAAACCGAAGGAGGATTGCCACGTAGTGAAGACTGTTGTATTGTACAAACGAGTCCTCAGCTCACCTTCCTGCGACCCCGATGAACCTGCGCTAAGCTTTCGTCTGTACTTTGACAGACATTATCAATAGACTGGACTAGAACACAACATTTTTCTGGTTACGACGACTTCACATTAAAGCGTAAGATTAGGGAGTCTAGAAATTAACAGAACAGCCAACGTCCTGAATAGGAGGAACGAGTATAGAAAGCTGAGTATGAACTTTATTTTTCGCATTTAAGTATTGTTTCGAGACTACCAGTAAATCAGTAATATGAGATGTATTCACCC